AGAAAAAGTAAAAACAATATGTTCCCAAACTCCGTTTGGGGAACATAATTAGGGATTTTAAAACCACAGCACAACTCCAAATAACACGTGAATAGCTTGCAGTGAGAGGTGTGTGTGGTTTGTTGTTTCATTGCAATGAATGGCAGTTGCAATCAACATCATTATATTCTAAATATACAAATTTCTCTGTTTTCCTCTTCATCACGGCTCAGTACATGAGGCATGTCAATCTTTATTAGGATAGATCAAGAAACTTGAGGAAGATATTAAATGAGGAGTTGTATATTTCGATATATAAATTTTCTTGCATCGAATTAATTGGTATTTAGTATTAAATAAGCTTACATGAAGAATGTTGAAATTAAATATGAAAATATTAAAGAAATGCAGGAAAGCTCTTTTACTAAATAATTGCAGCTACATTTTCTGCTGCATATCAGAAAATATTTGGGAAAATCAATGCACACTGTTATTTTGAAATGAAACAGATGGCGATACCGATCAGAACAGTATTCAAGATGAGAAAAATCCATAAAACAAAACAAAATAGGGACAGAGAAAACTCATAACTCCAAAACATCAGAGGTGGGATCAGGTACCATAGAGGAGTGCATGAGCATCCCCTGTCGATTCGTCACACCCGCCGTGTGCTCTTTGTCATGATCGGGAAATAACGGAAAAATCCGTATATAGTATATAAATACTAGTAATAGACTAACAATTAGTATGAAAAACGTCAGACAGCAAATTCCTCGATAAAATGTAATTGCTGACAATGTCACTGTATCGACCATATAATTTACGAAATGATGCCTTTAAATAATGCTTCTGATATTCTTGTTTTATCAACTTGTTTGTCAATAATTTACCTCGTTTCAGATAATGTTCATACGTAGAACATTCTCTTCCGTATCGAATCAACTGAGAGATATAAATTCCTTATGCAGAGACACAGCCTTCGTATTTTTACAACTTTTAAAATTAAACATGCTGAGTGCATATCCACTAAAAGATGTTGAGTCAGACTTAAAGTAAAACCTTGTTTTAGAAATATCCAAACATATGCAACTGCATTATGAATAGAAATACTTCTTTGAAAAAAATCAAATACATTTTCTTATCAAAGGATTTTAATGTGTTATCTTTGTCGAAAAATTAATCTCTTAAATTCCATTTCAGGAGAGACATATTAAATACCCTGCTGAACACAACAGAATATGACCCAAGAATTACACCTGATTTTGAGAGAAGTATACGTGTTTAATTACACAAATATGTCCAATTCGAGGGATTTATCGTATTAGGTGCAATTTTTTTTTCGGGGGGGTGGGGGGTATGTTTATTTGTAAGATTAAAAAAACTGCCCCTATTTAAAAACTTGACTTTATTCAGTGATAAAGGCATCTCTTGTTTCAATTTGATGAAGAGTACAAGCAAATTAAAGCATTTAATTGTCAAATATACAGTTAACAATAACTGTTTGTGGAAAAGGGTTTGATGCACCTGTATGGCAGCTTATGGCGGGTTTTGGGTTCTTAAATGCAAATCAAACTCCAAAGGTCAAGGTAAAAAATATTGGTCTTATCACAATTGGCACAAGGAATATATGTGTACACCTGTGAAATATAAAAGACCTAGTTCTTATTGTTTAAAATTTATGATCAAGTCTACAATTTTTAATAAGTTGGTCAACCTCACAGGTCAAAATCAAAATGTCTAAAGGTTAAAAATATTTGCACCCTCTGAATGGTCTTGTCATAATGGTTTGACATGTGAAGTATGAAAGTTCTCGTACCAACTATTCAAGAAGTTATGGCCAAGTGATATATTTTTTGTAAAAGTCAAATACCAAGGCCAAATGATCAAATTAGGTGCTACCCAAAGATAGGTCTTGTAACAAGGAATTCACCTATGAAACATGAAAGCTATACCTCTACCCATTCAATAGTTATTAACAATTCTAAAGTTTATGCGAATAAATGAAAAAAGAGACAGATGGACGAACAGGGCAAAAACTACATAACCTCGAATCTTCCTTATTGGGGCATAAAAATCTAGGTATGAAAAATCAAAAATTGAAAAGGAAAAATTAACACAAAAAAAGAAAATATTTTTCTTATAATTATTTCCTGCCAAAAGTCACTTATGTTCTTTTCATAATTATACAAAATATGTCTATTGCGTAATATAAAAAAGTGTGTTTTACAGGATATTATGAATGTTTTAATAGGAAGAATAATTTTTTAGTGGATTTTTAATTACTTTATAATATGCATGCATGAATATGTCTTCATGTCATGATCAAGTTGAACAGCAGTTTATGCGTTGAAGTAGCTTACATGTAATTATCAGTATTTTTTCATTTACGTTGTTATATTTTTAACCAATATTAACTTTAAGTCATTTCAAAGGTCTAAATGAAAGTCATAATGGCACATCGTATTTAAAATAAATTATTTTCACTGCAATTTAGTTTGAGTTTTCAAAAGTTTTTCAAAGAAAAATTTCAACGATTAAAATTTAAATTATTTGCTAGAGGTATACGTATGACACATTGCTGAACTTTTAACTCACTGAACTCTATCTTGAATCATAGATGAGGCAACAAGAGTTCATGTCCAGCTGTCGGTTATAAGTATCGACTCAATTAATGAAGTATCGATGGTAAGCAGTTTGTTATAATTGATTATATTTACCCGGTTTTTAATGCACTTATGTAAATTTTTAAAAGCATAATTCTTTATATAGTTTTTGTAAAAAAAAAAATATGTAACATTTACGAAACGTCTGGTTTGGGTTACAAAAAACAATGGGTTTTTCTTTTTTATGATGTTGATATTTAACTTTCAGTGTTTTTTCATTTATCATATCACTGTTTATAAAAAAAATAATTCCGGAAACGCGATTGCAAAAATTATTCTCAACCGTTGAAAATTTAGTAAAGTGTTAGCGATTAAAACTATTTTTTTTAATTCATATTTAACAAAATTTCAAGTGAATATTCAATATCATAACAGGATTACACACTCAACGCCATTCTTCGACAAACTTGGATAGATCCGCGCCTAAATTTTTCTCACCTCAGCAATATCAGCATGTTGGAACTGGACCACAGGCGGATGAGCGATGTCTGGCTCCCCGATACGTTTTTCAGAAACGAAAAAACAGCTACTTTACACGCAATCACTGTCCCAAACAAACTTCTCCATATAACTAATGATGGCCGTGTCAGATACAGCATCAGGTTTGAATTCAGTTTATTTTAGAGTTTTAGTGCCATTATTTTCAAAGATATAATTTGATTTAATAATTATTAAAGGCGTTTATTAGTATTGATCCTACTGTAAGAGATATGTGTACATGTTTGTTTCTTCAGTACATTGGTATTTACGGTATAAATTATGTCAGTGTAAAAATATAATGAATTCCTTCTCAACTACCTTTTTTCAAATTGATTAGTATTCAATCAGACTTCATCAAAGGTTCAAACATTGCTGAAATGCTTTGATTCAATTGAAACAGAAAAGAACTCTTGAATAGCTAATAATCACAAGAACAATTAATGTGAAAAAATTTATGCATATGAAATGGTAAATTTACAAACAATGACAATGCTTAAAAGTCCATTAAACAATAAAACGTCTATGCAAAGAACATTAAGGACATGTGAAATTAGGTGGGATTCGGTGCCATGGAGGAGTAAGCACTCTTAGTATATCTGGGTCCCTTGTCATGATCGGATAAAATTGAGTATCCATACAATATTAAGTGTAAAGATAATGCATATGACACAAAGTGATAAAAGATTGTATTTGCAGACAAATTAATTTTGTCTGACATAGAATTTGCGAAATGTTGACTTTTAACGAACTTGTTGATTACTTTGCATCATTAACTAATTTGACAGTGATGCATTCCTCTTTCGTTTTTTCAGAGTATCCTTAACACTCTCTTGCACGATGGATCTGAGATTTTTTCCTATGGATGACCAAATTTGTTCTATTTTAGCAGAAAGTTGTGAGTACATGCAGATATAAGACAAAGTGTTTAATATTCAAATTCAAAATACATGTAGTAGAAATAGATGAATTTGCAAAAAAAAATTAAATCATATTTTTTTGAGAAGTATAGATATCGCTATGCTTTGATTTGAATACGTGATGCTTTTGTCAATGTGTGAAAGCACGATTTTGTTCCGCTTAAATTCTATTCTATTTTTTTTAAGTTTTGGAAGCAAGCAAGTAACGAAATCACCGAAATTGAAAAAAATGAAAATATCTTCCATTTGTTTGCATGATTTGGTCTTTGAACAAGTACAATATCAAACAAATCTACATATTTACCTCACAAATTATATTAACTTGTAGATGGATATTCTATTGATAACGTGCATTTAATGTGGGAGCCGAAGAATTCCTTCATAATTCAAACAACAGACGATGAGTACTCTTTACCACAGTTTTATCAGCACAAGCCAGTAGAAACTCTCAAGTACTCCATCGTCAACCCATCTAGTATGTACCAATGTAACACTTCATGAATTAATATTACGGTTTAAGGTCCATTGCATTTGGAAAAGCATTCTGAATATCTCACTGTGAAATACATATTTAAGTGATATTGACTTGATAGTGTTGGTATCATAATGTAAGACAGCATTTTATTTCTAACCTGAAAAAAAACAAGGCGTATAATTGATAACATATGTATTCTGTATTTTTGTAGTTTCGAAGTTAAAAAGAATTTAGCTTTTTGCTTTTTAATTTTCAAAACATGAAATATGGAGATATGCAAAAAAATATATATTTCAAAATGCATTTAAACAATGAAAAAATGTATAGATACAAGCTCAAAAATCCATTTTAAATACTAATCGGAACCGAACAGACACAGACCAATAAAATTAGAATTATGCTCTTTCTATTTTTCATCAAACAATTTAGAGTGTGTTAATTTTTCAGATGTTGAGTTCTCTGGTCTTCAGGCTAAATTATATCTCCGACGAAACCTGGGATACTACATGTCTCAAGTGTTTATTCCCAGCATTCTTATCGTCACTCTCTCCTGGATCTCGTTTTGGATTCACGTGGATGCTGTTCCCGCGAGAGTCTCGCTCGGGGTCATTTGTGTGCTTACCATGACAACGCAAAGTGCTGGTGTCCGGAATTTTCTTCCACGCGTTTCCTACATTAAGGCAATTGATGTCTGGATGGCATTTGGGCTCTTGTTTGTATTTGCGGCGCTACTCGAATACGCTTATGTTAACGTTCAGACAAGAAAGCATCACAAGCAAGTCAAGGTATAACGTTTAACTTAGTTTTAATTCGAATTTATCATTAATTTTACATGATCATTAAAATTTAGAACATAAATGTTTTTCGTCAACGGTTTACTTATCATATCATACATGTACGTTTATTTGACATATGGAGATAACGAATAGTATGCAAGCTCAAATTTCATTTTAAAAAATACACATCTGGAGCAGAGCAAGTAAGGACCTCCAAAAACGTTTAAGGTGATACATGTATCAGGTACCATTAAATAATGAACACCCCTGTCGACCGGTCGCATCCGCCTTGTGTTTCTTGACATGATGAAGAAAAATGGAAAATTTTAAATCTGCAGATTATCAAGCGTGTAATTTTGACCTCACATTTAGAATGAAAAAAATCATTTGCTGACATTTTCATTGTACATACATATATAAGATATCAACTTGTATGTAATTAATGTAATTATAAATATCTTGCATTCTTAATTGTTCATACAATCCATGTTCTTGGGTATCGAATTAACTGAGAGACCTAACGTTGATATGCCGGTGCAAAAGGATTACTTTAAAATCACATATTTTCGTGGGTCAAATTTTCAAGGTTTGAGGAAAAATATTGGTTTGTGGGAATTTGATTTTGTAGTTGGAAATGGTTTTTAGTAGTAATGCATAAGAAATTTTACATTGTGGTAGTTATAAATTCGTGGATCCATGTATTGAAAACAACGACAATAAAACTCCCACGAAAATAAGTGATTTGACAGTATAAGTTGTTGTTGTTTAACGTTCCTTTTGAGAATGTTTTACTTGTAGGGGACTATGATGTTAAAGATACACTACTATATAAACAAGGAAAGTTGACGATACATCATATAACTAATCATGTATCATACAACATATTATATCATTAAAGTATATAATATAATCGTATGTTTAGATGTTTAAAACTAATGATATGAACTGTTGTTAAAATCAAAAGAAAATACATGAATTGCTTGCCTGCAAAACTACTTTTCACTCTGGTCAAATCCATATGAAAGAAAAATCAAAGTACTGAAGATTAATGTATTTGTAATAAATCATCATGTAATTTTTTTTAGAAAAGCGAGAAGAAAGATAAAAATGGTGAAACCAACGATAAAGAAAATCGTCCTGAATATTTTATGGAAAGGGCTCGTCGTGTGGACAGAATTTCGCGAATTGTTTTCCCTGTGTCTTATATATTATTTAACATTGTTTTCTGGAGTGCCTATCTATCGAAATGAACGGTCCTCTATGAAGCATTACAATTAACCCAATTTCAAATTAATGGAGATATATTTTGCACGGTAGATCTTTTAATCCATGAATTACCTACCAAAGGTTCATGGATACTCCACTAAACATATGCATGTACATGTAACATGTATTCAATCGTTAGTTTTAATTCAATATTTTTTTACATGCTTTCACTAAATGAGCGCGATTACATGAAAACTAATTTCGCTTCAAGTAAGTCCGATCCTTAGCCAGGAAGGATAACTCTTTAATTGATAACCTAATACGAAAAGTCTCAAAATGAAGCTTAAAAATAAAATCTTTTCATGCAATTATTTTCATTTTTACCTCTAAATGTGATTCAAGGTTCTTTGAAGATCTCGGAAAGGTCTTCTTAAATGTCGAAATTTTTACCCCATGAATGTATTCTAAAATTTCAAACTTGAAGAAATCGAAGTTTTTTTTAAACTAACGATAGATTCCAATGTGTATAAGCATGATATGACATTAGAAATGATTTGTGGTGCTTTGCAGTTAAATGGAAATCTAAATACGCTGTACATTATAAAATGATCGAAGTGAATAGAAGAAACTAATTAAAAGTACCTTATATTTATAATAATTATACGCTTTCTGCAAAAACCTGAATTATTACCTATGAATTTTATTTCTAAAATGTGTTTGTTGATAAGATTTGAATTTGAAAATGCATAGTAGGTGTTTTATTCGTATTTCTGGAAAATTTATTTGAGATTTACTAATTTTCCTTATATACATTGTAATATAATCAAGATAAAGTTTCAAGAATTGTCGTTGGTAAGAAAAATAACATTACGAGGGTTCGAAAAGTTCGTGGACTTCTGTCATATCTTTTTTATTTCACGTCATATGTTTTCCAAATTTGGTATATTACCAATAAATTCAAATAATTTGTATAATTTTTTTTAAATATCTCGATTTATTCAAATTTCATCCAGATTTTAAAAAAGCTAAAATCGGGTCACGGAGCAGGTCGAAATTTAATAAGTTACAAACAATACACTAAATAATGTCTGTAGTTATATTCTCAGTAAAATGGAGGAAAAACGAAAAACAACCTAGAAAATCAAATTAAGAACTGTTATATCGATTCGTATTTCATATTATGGCTAAATATTTTGCTTCGTTGCAAAGAAATCAACTTGAGAAGATAGGTAGTCCTCATTGAAAACGTCAAAACGATGACGTTTTAGAACATCACGAAGCAGCAGATTGCGATGCAGTTTTTTATTTTACTCTTGAAAAATCCTGAATAAACTCTTAAAATGTTGGAGGAATGATATAAATATGTCACAAGCGAGTTGTGCATGTGTGGACAAATAGTACAGGCAGTATTGGAGTGACAGTGACTCTGTATCGGATGACGACAGTCTGTGAAGAAATTGTGTAACTGTAAAAATCTGAACAAAAACTTTAAAAATCTGGAACGTCAAGGAAAGACATAGGCGCTCCAGAGCTGCTTAACATATGAAAGCAGAGTTAAGGATATAAAATAAATCAAAATCTTAACAAAGGAAAATTAACATCGAGAACAATTGTTAAAAGATATATGTCAGTATATAAGATAAGGGTTTCTAATGAATGGGTATTGGATAATACTGTGTGAAATGTGTAGTAATAGTTTGGTTTTTTTTTAGAAATTCTTGACGCTATCTTTTGACGTTACATTGCCGTTAAGTGTGCTCCGCGGGTACAAAACATGTTGATTTTAAAATGAATTAAATTAATTTTATGTTAAATCGATTGGAATGAAACTTCACACATGAAACAAAACAAATATTATTACATATTATTTTGTGCTTGTTATAAATTTCAATTAGTAATATAACGAAGATTGACATCGTCCATGAACTTTTCGAACAACCCTAAGAGAATTCAGAGACATTTTTGTGAGCATTTTCATTTAGCTCAATGCCTGATTTTCAAAACATGAGGATCGGAGTACCTTAAAAAGGGCTAATATCTATTTGATGAACTTTGTGACCTTTTCGATCGTCTTTTTTTTTATCAATATATTATTTTTTTATTTGAGTATTTGTTCTAAATAAAGAATAAATTGATAATGCTATTTTTATGTTTGTTTTTGTGTTTATTGCCTCTTTTGATAAAATAATTATTTCAATCATATTGAGACGGAACCACTTGCCTGTGGCGGGCTTAAAATGTAACCTTTACGCGGTATTCCGGGCCCTTAAGAAGTGACAGATCATTATAGCACTCATACACTGCGAAGAGGACCTTATTTTATTTTATATACCTTCTTATCCAATGGACAGACCTTAACGTCCTGTAATGGGACTCAAACCCGCGACGTATTAAGATCCACTGCCTACATCGCATCGCAACTTTAGAACCAATTTATGTATGCTTAGAAATATACAAGGTGAAATTTGCACTGAAGTGACCGTCGTACATATATGACACTATCATTATGGCAAATGCAAATAGCACAAAAAAGAATATTATATTTACACACAAAAAAGAGTAATATTTTAGTTTTAAAAGTAAAACATTCCATTTGGTAGAGAATCTTAATGAGTAATCTTTTTCTTTTGTATATTTATGACTTAATCATGAAGTTCTTCCTTCTTAACAATTAAGGGGACGACCATTTGATTCTGGGGGGGGGGGGGGCTGGCAGATTTTGGAAATAAATAATCTGTCCCTGAAAATGTTGAAAATAAATAATCCGTCCTCCTCTGCAAAGAAAATAAATAATCTGACCTTGACTTATGATATTTAAATATTGTGAAAATATCTTTTTATTTCTGTGTAATTTAACCTCAGAATCTTCAATTCAGCATTTTTTTTTTGGCTCGCGTCGGTTAATATTTACAATCAGATTACCAGACTGGATACTTGTAGTCAGTTGATAACATGAAAATGTGCACTCAGTAGATGTGATAAATCACTTTAAATACAAGCAAATTCTTAAACACCACAAAAGATAAATTTTCTTGTCAAAGAATTATACTTCCCGATAAATTAATTACAAAGTATACAGTGGCGGATTTAAGGAAGGCATACATGTGTATGACTCCTCCCCTCAAATTTCAAAGTATGATATGAATTATATTAATATTGCCATACTTTAGTACAATACCAATATTTTTGTGACTAGTTTTACTCTTAAAATACACAAAAACCCAAGAGCTTCAGGGGGCTTCGCCCCCTGGCCCCCTTCATCCAAAATATGATATGACTAGTATTAATTATGTCATACTTTGGAACATAACTAACCAATTCCTAGATAATTGTGCCTGGTTTTACTCTTAAATTACACAAAACCCCACGAGCTTCAGGGGGCTTCGCCCCCTAGATCCCCTTCATTCAAAGTATGATATGACCAATATCAATAATGTCATACTTTGCTACATAATAACCAATACCACTATAATTGTCCTGGTTTTACTCTTAAAATACCCGAAAACCCAAGAGCTTCTGGGGAATTCCCCTGCCTTGGCCTCCACCAGTGCTTCGCCCAGGACCCACTGGGGGCCTTAACGGCCCCAGACCTCTTGCCTGAACGAAGTTATACACGCCCCCCATCCTTTATCCACCTATGGTATATAAATGATTAGTCTTTTAGAATCAATCGATCAAGGTACCGTAAGACAAAGAAGAAAATAAATAATCTGTTCTCGATAATCTTGAAAATGAATAATCTGTCCTTGACAGGCATGAAAATAAATAATCCGTCTCAAAAAAATTTGCCAGCCCCCCCCCCCCCCCCCTCAGAATCAAATGGTCGTCCCCTAAATCTTCCTACTTGAATCATTTCCCTCTATATAAATTGTGGAAAAAAAAAATTGAAAACTTCCAAAATTGAACAAATGTTGCTATATAAACATGATAAAGAAGGAAGAAAGTGACGATATCAAAATATAATAATTTATTTTGAATAAATAATCTTAATCAACAGAGCCATCATATCATTTCTTAAGAAGTGTAGACTTAAACTCTAAAACAGTATCGATAATAAATGTATCAAAAAGAGATAAAGCAGAAAAAGTTTTTATACATATATAGAGAATAATACATTCCCTTTTCCATATCACATCCTGCATCAGCCCGAGACACCAATATCAGCCAGAGGGCCGAAGGCCCGAGGGCTGATATTGTTTGAAAAGGGTATGTATTATTATCTTTATTAGATACTTAGTAATAAAATACAGAACACATTCAGTTGAGAAGAAAATAAGTAAATAATCATGCATGTACTTCTTACATACATGTACATAGTCTAATGTTTCATACGATTTGGGTTTGTTTCTACTTCTATTTCAATGCACTTGATCCGTAGTAATTTAAAAATAATCTATAGTATTACATGTATTTGTAAATTAAGATTAACCTTATTTTCAAAAAGTTAAAATTAAGAGAATATGAACCCACCAAAAATTGTGTATGATCACAAGTACTGTAATGTGGTTTAATTTACTAAGGGTGTGATATTGACGTCACAATAGCCGTATCAGCCCTGCAGGGCTGATATGGATTTGCAGGGCTGATACGGATATCAGCCCCGCAATCCATATCAGCCCTGCAGGGCTGATACGGCTATTGTGATGTCAGCCATATCGCATATGCATAAAACTTGTATTTATTACTAAGTGTGTAATAAAGTGGATTATTTTATGTCATATGCATTTTGAAATACAATTGATTAAACAATTGAAAACAAACATTTAAATTGATAACACTTCTTTAAATAAGTTACTATGTACATGTATCTTTCAATGTATTTACATGTTTCAGGCAGTTTATCCTAGTAAGTATACTTCAATCAGTAAATGGTGAAAAGAAAGACGCTCTGGTTTCTGACTGACAATATAGGTTTAGCGATAATCTAGCAATCTGTCGGAATTTCCATGGGTACCAATTGCATCACATTATAAAATCTCTTTTGTATTCGCATGGAGAAGCATTTCTTAAAAATTTTGGACATGAAAGGGTAAAATATTCGATTCGACCTTCTACTCGACAAAAAGATTCATGTATTCGACTACGCATTACCAAGTAACAAAAGTAAATTTTGTTCATATGTGGTTATTGAAATGAAAGATGCCACAGAGTCGGACACATTTGCTTTAGATATATATTCAGATATTGTGCTACAAAGAGACCTTACATGTGATGTATTGGTGTTGAGTAAATAAAGTAACTCAAACTGTACAGGAACTTTCGGGGAAATGTTGAGAAAATAAAAGCTCATATTTTTTGTATAATAGCCCTGACATCGAAGATTTTGCTGCTCCGTGACTTAAGACAAATCACCCAAAATTGATACCAATTTACAACATTTTGATATGAAATTTTGAAGACCAGATAAGTAAAGATTCTTTTATATTATGTGTGACATTTTGCCCTATCATGTTGTCATATATTTTTATTGTGCGACGAGTCCGCGTAATTTTTTGACTTTTATGATTGAATAATTTCCAATTCTCTTTTTGGCTGAGATCCAACTATGTTAGAAAAATACCCATCAATTTCCTTGTTTTTGTTACTGTTTTTCAGAGTTTGATCCGATTTTCCGGATCACCACACTGTGGTTTTCTGAATCCATATCACCACTCTCTGAAACTGATGACGTAGTACGCAAAAACATGACGTTATTTTTCTTGCGCGTTAAAAAGTCCCTTGTCATTATGCTTTGTTTTATGGATAAATATTATACAATTGACCTCTAAAGTTTAATTCTGCTATATTTAGCTAGTTATAAGGGGGTATATAATAAATTTATCATTATAAAAGTAACTTGATCCGAAGGGCCGTATCACGTCTCGTTGACAGGCGCGGATCATCAGATCAAACTCGACGCTTCGCGTCTCGAGAATCCATTGTCTCCGTGATACGACCCTTCGGATTAAGTTACTGTTATAATAATATATATGTATTGACCTGCACGTGATTACAAGGAGGTGAATACAAGGATTTGTTTCCTCTACATTGATCAAAAAATAGATTGGGAAATTCCAAATTGATACAAATTGTTTTGGAAGCTATTGAACGTACTATGACTTTTTTCAATTGAACAAATCATAAGCAGATATATATTTTCTGGTGAGGGTGGTAAGAGGGGATACAGGGACCCCCTCCAACACTTTTACTGAACAACAATTTTTAGTTTTTGGCAGTCAGTTTTCCCTGATGATACTCCTTCCTTTTAAAATCTATCCTATAAAAAAAACTGACAGTGTGTATACATTTTTTTTTTCATAGCAACTAAAATTGATAAAAAATTGAAGAGACTAGTAAGGTTTATTTACATTTTAATTTTGCTTCTCTCTTGTATTTGGCTAGGACTTAATTAAATGCAAACAAGTAATGAACTATCATTTTATCAGTGAATCATATAATAAAACAATTATTGCTGTTTTTTCGGTCAATACAATGATTTAACCATCTTCGAAGTACAATATTCACCTCGCCCTTCGGGCTCGGTGAATAATTGTACTCCTCAGATGGCTAAATCATTGTATTGACCTCAAAAAACAGCAATAATTGTATATTCTATCACCAACTTTCCTTACTTCTGTAGCAAAATATATCATATCACCTGCATGTCGAATTTATGTCATCCACAAGAAGATATTCTCCAACCGAACAATTTCAAAATGGAAGTTGAAGAAACAAGATATCAACAGTTTCGTTTAAAGCATTCATTTTGCAAGTTCTGTTATCGATAAAATGATTCTGACAGCAAATAAAATTTATCATCAAGCCAAAAGTTCATACTTATTGTTAGGTCTTTATTTACATAAATAACTTTTATGGATTTTTTTTCATTCGTCTGATCATTACAAAGAGCTCACGGTGGGCGTGACCGCCGTCGAACAGGGAATGTTTATTGCTCCATAAGGCACCTGCTCCAAGTTTGTATTGTGTTTTGCTTTAATTGAGCTTCACGTCTGTTTGTTATCTACCGTATTTTACTTATTATTTACTCATTTTAAGGAGCACATTTAATATTTAGTTTATCATACGAAAACAATTCTGTCAATGTTCATGCATATGAGTAGAACAGAAGTTTTACAAAGCTGTAATGCATATTCAATTTATGACAT